ACACACACACACACACATTTTACAAAATGAAATTTAATTGAATTATTATTCAATCATCAGGTACATCAATTATTTACCCCCTGCTATGTAATTTTTTACCCCCAAGGGGTAAATTTACCCCTGGTTGAGAATCACTGGCCTAGATGCAACAATTTTCCAATTTTTAAAATATAACATTTGTAACAATTCACAAGCACGATTTTTCACAATATATTCTAAAGAGAAATCTTATTTATTTTAAATATATGATGTTTAGCTGTTAAAATAACAAACATTACTAACAATATCTTATATCTCTACATAATTTCATCGATGGCAAATATTGTATTTATATTTTGTTACATCTTTAACTCTTATACGAATAGTTAACGCAAGAGAGCGCAACAAACATGGAACAACAAGATATAACAACTTACTGGACACTAACGAATATACTTATATGAATACAAAAAAAAAGAAAAAGAGACACTCAAAAATGTAACATTACATCAGCCAAAAAAAAAAAGAGTCACTGCAACTATATATTGTTTTTAACCATTATCATAATAAGTTATTTACAACAATACAACGAAAAAAAAGCATATCTATACACATCTTACTTTGTCAGATTTTCTGGTTCGCAATGACTAGTTGTGAATGCTGTTGTTTCAGTATTAGATTTTCCGTCTTCATGGTTGGGCGCCATTTTCGAAATGATAATTAGTAAACCGCGCCATCTCTTGGTGAAATATTTATGGATTTCAATAATCGGCTGATTAAAGACTTCAGTGATAAGAATCACAACACATGCGATCGAGAATTCTTGTAATTGGAATTTTCAACCTCAACCATGTATTCACGCAGGCTGAAACACCAGTTCAGAAATCTCGAGAATTCAAGTATAGCCTTCTTTAATTTGATCTACTGAGCAGAAGGAAGACAGCCAGCCAATAGCATTCACCGTCATGAGAGCTTTGTTTGGATCTTTGAACCAAATTAATAACAAAATTGACTGTCACTATTAAAGTGTGTCCACTACTAAAATGTTGGAGCGAGTTCAGCAGCATCGAGTCTCATACCCTAAACCTTCGATCCGCAGCCCAACACTAACCATTAGGCTTCGCTAAATTTAAAATTCAAATTTAAAAAAGCTTTTATAACATTAACAATATGGAAAAGAAAATAGATACGTCTATTATTGAAATTTTTAGTTTTCGCTTCCAAACCTTATAAGGTTATACATTATATCTGACGCATACGTCAAATTGTTTAGTTTCTAGAATGTAATTTTTTGTTGTTGTTACCAGGTTAAGAAACTCTAAGAACAAACTTAAAGAAACATATAAATAAGTGCATTACAAAAATTATATTATTTACATTTTAAACACAAAATATAACAGTAAGGAAAATTCATATCATAAACACTACATTATTACAATGACAGAAATCGGTCTAACCATTAATCAACAACACCTTTAAGTGATCTTGTTAAAGTTTTATCGCAATAAATGCTTAAAACGGTGGAGAAACTCCGGCCGAGAGTTGTCTAGTGGTTAGCCTACTGGGATAACGACCACAAAGTCCATGGTTCGAGTCACAATGCCGCTAAACATGTTTCGCGCTTTCAGCTGTGAGCTGTTATAAAAGTAACAGTCAATTTTGTTATTCGATTCAAAGAGCTGGACAAAACACTTGTAGCGACTAATGATTGACTACCTTTCTTCTGATCAGTATTTCAAAATAAGGAACAGTTACATCCTGATCTAGAAAGATCTCTTACTTAATCGTTTAGTTCTGAATAAGATAAAATTCAAGTTGAAAATACCAAGATGAAATAAAATTCATAAACTGGACTGTTAGTTGTACAAAACTTTGATAGACTTACGGTATTTCGGGGTTAAGAATGTATAATACACAGATACCTGATCACCACAATACAAGGCCCGGTATGGCCAGGTGGTTAGGGCGCTTGACTCGCAATCTGAAAGTCATGGGTTCGAATCCCCGTCCCACCAAACATGCTCGCCCTTTCAGCCGTGGGGGCGTCATAAAGTGACGGGCAATCCCACTATTCGTTGGTAAAAAAGTAGCCCAAGAGTTGGCGGTGGGTGGTGACGACTAGCTGCCTTCCCTCTAGTTATTCACTACTAATTTATGGATAGCTGGCGCAGATAACCCTCGTGTAGCTTTGCGCGAAATTCCAAACAAATCACCACAATACAACTAAATGTTCGGGATTTAGCTGACGAAAGGTTTAGAGGTAGTTTAACTCGTTGATGATTGAAATAATGAACTCAAGACTCGTTTATAAAGTGTAACATAAAAACAATTTCGATGATGAGGAACCCATTTTGAGACTAATAATGGCTGGAGACTGCTTGAATGGGTAATGAAGAAAAACTTTAATATAAGTTTAACATAACAGCAAATGTACAACGTTTCGACGAGGTGTTGTCATCATCATCATCACTTTATTAAAAATACATGTGAGTACTCATAGCGCTAAAACTGGGATAACCCACTGTGTACCTTTGTGTTTAATAACAAACGAAGCAATTAACCGCTAAGAGATAAATTTTTGAACTATTGATTTATTAAACAAGTAAATGGAAAGTTGTCTGGTTTGTTTCGGATATTCGCGAAATATTTACACAATGTCTATCTGCATCAGTCATCTCTAATTTTGAACTGGTCAAATACAGCTAGAATAGTGAGATTTGACCGGAAATGTTATAACGCTGCTTTGGAACCTGAAATTCACAGCCCAGCGCGCTATCAGCGATGCACAACTCAAACTTAAAGTAAACCTAACTCTTGGATAAATACTTGACCGTTAAAACACGAAAATTGAAAATAAGATTTAAAATAACCATCACTTATATTTAAGAGTAGAACTAAGATGAAAATACAATCACGGAAAAAAAATGCAAAAAATAAAAGGATGAGATTTGAATGTGCAGCACATCACAACAGTTCTTGTCTCTTTTTCCTTCAAAGCGTCAAAGCTGTTCTCACAATTCACATGTTTTTATAGCTGTCTGTCAGGGGCC